CCCTCTCCAGTTCATGGAAAAATTATCTTCCACGCAATTGGTCCCTGGTACCAGAAAGATTGGGGACTGCTGGGCTCTTGGGTGAAGAAACTGGGCTCCCACTTGGAAGGTTGAGAGTTCAATCCTAGGTAGTGGCAGATGTTTCTCTCCTAGGGAACCTGCTGTGAACTCCATGTGGCATTGGGAAGGGCATCTGGCCAGTAAACGCCCAGCTTCTTCCAGTTGCCCTGACTCTAGGCTGAATTAAGAGTTTATAAAGTGGTAGGAAAAGTTGTTTTACTGAGATGGAAACAAAGGTTTTTCTTTTCTTGTGATCTATTCTCTTACAATTTCCTAGCGTTGTCTTCGCTATCTGAAGAAACCCTACAGGAGCTATTCTGTCATGATAACCACCCACAGGATGTAGTTGAAATTGTATAAAGTCAGGGAGACTCCTAATTCCCAGAAGACGATCTGTGTTCGGTTACCTTTTAGAAAGGGAGTCCAAGAATATCATAGCTCACCATGAAAATTTCACCAACATATTCACCATTTGTGGGGATGGAACCTTGAAATATTGATAGAAAAGAATTTCTGTAACTCTGGCTTGAACTGTGGAATCCTTGGTGCTCGCTGAGCCTGGTGCTTTTCTTGCAGACATTTCATTACCAAACTAGGTAACATCATCAGTGCTGTACCTGATGATGTTATCTACCGTAGTTTAGTAATAAAGAGAGAGCACCAGGGATCCCTACCTGAAATATTATTAGAGGACCTGGAGTCATTGTTAAGATGGACAGTTATACAAAATGATTGATTGATTGATTAAATAAATAGGTTATTTTGAATGAAACTGAATGAGAATAATAGGGGAAACTCCCCTCATCCAAATGTATTGTTTGGCGCAGCCCTAAGGTAAATAAATAGTAAAAAAAAAAAAGCTCATCAAGCCGTTCTTCTCACTGTTTTTTTATCGGTTTATTTCCCATAAATGTTTACAGTTTAAACATGATCTCTTTGAAGTAAGTTCTATTGATTTTGATTGAATTAATTTTCGAGTAAGACCACTATAAGGTTACAGCCTTCTTTTAATTTCCAGTTTATGAACCACTTATATTTTGAGTACAAGCATGGGGATTATGCTACTCTTTCCCTAGAGAAGTCTAAGTTATTTTCTCTTCTTCTTTTTTTCAGCTGAAGAGATGCCATTGAATTTTTGATGGTTAATGTTGCTTTTATATGTTTAGCATATAGCTTTGCTCGCCTGGCTGAGTTCCAATTTTGCTTTTCATATGCTGATGTATGATTACTCGTATTATTTTTATATGAACATCACCTTCAGGAGGCATTCCAAACATGTATTAAATAAACCAATGATCCATGCATCGTTTAAAAATGATCTTTTGTTCAGGGGATCTCAAGAGGTCCTGTAAGAGAAACGGAGGGGTGAACAAGCCATCTGTTTGGAGGATGCAAACTTGCCTATTATACCCTAAGCAATGCCTGGGCTACACTTGATTTAATGATATGAAAAGAAAATTGCCATAGAGTTTCTGCTAGGTTGAAATGGCGGAATACGCCTGATATTCCATTGCAATAATCATAATGCCCCGAGCACGTTACCATAAGAGCTAATCTCCAAAGTAATACACAAAGAGATCGTACTTGGAAAAGAAGCAAACTAAAAATACAAGTAGTCTTTAACTCGCAACAGTTTGTTTAGTGATTGGTCGAAGTTACAATGGCACTAAAAAAAAGTGACTTATGAGCATTTTTCACACTTATGACCGTTGCAGCATCCCCATGGGTCACTTGATTTACATTTGGATGCTTGACAACAGGTTCATATTTATAAGGGTTGCAGTGTCCAAGGATCATGTACAGTTACTACTGGTTCTGTGGGCGTAGCTTGGTGGGCATGGCAGGGGAAGGTTACTGCAAAATCCCCATTCCCTCCCCACCACACTAACCTGCTTTCCAGCTCCGTTCTCCTGTGTAGGGAAACCAAAGAAGACCCAGCCGATCAGCTGGGACTCGGGAGGCCAGAGAATAGATGCGGGCTGGGCCAGTCAGAGGTGGTATTTTCAGGTTCTCCGAACTACTCAAATTTTCCGCTATCGATTCTCCAGAACTGGTCAGAACCTGCTGAATTACAACTTCTGGTCATGTGACCATCTTTTGTGACCTTCTGACAAGCAAAGTCAATGGAGAAGTCAGATCCACTTAACAACCGTCTTGCTAATTTAACAACTGCAGTGATTCCCTGAACAAATGTGGCAAGAAAAGTCATAAAATGGGCTGAAAGCTCACTTAAGACATTTCTTGCTTAGCAACATCAGTTCTGGGCTCGATTGGGGTCATAGGTCCAGGACTACCTGTATGTGTGAATTCAGGAAAGTTGTGTACAACAATGTTATGCTTTGCATGGAACTGGGTGGATGGATGCGGTTTGCAAGATGGTGTAATTCCCAAATTGTGACTTTAGGTGGCTAACTAGGATTGAAAGCGCAAAGCAAAAATATTGAAATAAACATAAAAACACAGAAACACAGTATGAATGAGGACACGTTGCAATGTGACGATTTCCTCAACAATCTTCTTTAAAAAAAAAAAGGAATGGTGAAAATCATCCAGCAGAGTTTGACTTAGTGCTGGTTTCTTAAGGAGAGGATGGATCACTGCCTCTTTAAGAACGATCTGATTAGATGGCTGAAGCTTCTGCCCCGAAAAAATCTAATTGGAGAGCATGATTCTTGGCTATGGACGTTTTTTTGTTGGATGATACACCCGGGGGGTGGGGGGTGGGGAGCAGGATCAAGGGTGACAGTGAATTACGTATCTCAGAGTTGGCTGCGCCCAGATTAGTGCCGGATGTAGAATGTTACCTTCCAATAAATCCTCTTTAGTTTTGGGAGTGTGGCTCAAGGCTCATGATTTAATTGGAGTAACTGCCGGAACCCTGCCGGAACCCTGACAGGAAGCTCATCACCTCTCAATATGTACAGGTAGTGCTCAACTTATAACCATCCATTTAGTGACCGTTTAAGGTTACAGTGACACTGAAAAAGTGACTTAGGACTCTTTTTCACACTTAACGACCATTGCATTATCCCCATGGTCATGTGGTCAAAACTTGGACGCTTGGTAACTGGCCTGTATTTATGATGATTCAAATGTCATGGGAACATGTTTTGTGACCCTCTGATCAGAAAAATCAATGGGGAAGCCAGATTCACTTAATAACCATGTGACTAATTTAACAACTGCAGTGAGTCACTTAACGACTGTGGCAAGAAAGGTTGTAAAACAGGGCAAAACTCACTTAACTGTCTTGTTTAGCAATGAAAAAAATGGGCTCACTTGTGGTCATATGTAGAGAATTACCTGTATGTGCTAGAAAAAACAACTGAATGAAGAATCAGTAAACATTGGGAAAGTTTGACCATGGAAATTCTCAGTCATCCAAATCGTGGTTGTCCCAAAGATGCTTTTTCAAAAGGCAACTGGATTTCCTTGGTTTTCTTGAAGATGTTTCACTTCTCATCCAAGAAGCTTTTTCAATTCTAACTGAAGAATTCAACTGAAGGAGCGAGAAGCGAAATGTCTTTAAGGAAAACAAAGAAAGTCCAGTTGCCTTTTGAAAAACCACCTTTGGGATGAAAATTCAATGGTATATTAAAGCTATACCTCTCATGGGAGGCATCACAAAAAAGTATGTGCAATTTTACTTATTTTTTGAAGACATTAAAGACAATGGAATGGAAAATTGAATGCACATGTTTTTTTAGAGAGTCATCAGTGCTAAATTGATATGCATATCTTTATGTATCTAAAACTTTGTAAAATGTGTGGTTGAAGACATGACAGTATCTAAATGTGAAAAAAGTGTTATATGCTCAGTTCTGTACAATGAAGTTGAAAATCCACTCTCCTTGGCTAGACTTGATTTTTGTGCCTGCTTTTTTATGTTTTTAAGAATCTTTATTGTTTTTAAATGAGAATTTTTGTATTGTTTTGCTGTTTTTATATTGCTTTTAATTGCTTGTGTGGCTCAGAATCATATATTTGAGATGGGTGGCTATATAAATTGATATAATGCATAAGTTGAACATAGCAAACACATTTCCAAAATTCATATTCTGCCTGTTCATGAAAAATACGAAAAAGGCATAGATTTGGAAGCTTGGATTCAAGACTAGTAAATAGCCCTCACTTTGGTGAACTGGGATGCAATTTTGAATATCCCTAGGATTGGCTTAAGGATCTTTTCGTGATGTTGCTTAAGGCTGCATAAACAGAGGGATAGAATCAAGATCACGTGAAGTGTTAATACCACTTTATAATGCCTTGGTAAGGCCACACTTGGAATACTGCATCCATTTTTGGTCGCCACAATGTAAAAAAGATGTTGAGACTGTAGAAAGAGTGCAGAGAAGAGCAACCAAGATGATTAGGGGACTGGACTGGAGGCTAAAACATATGAAGAACAGTTGCAGTAACTGGGATTATCTAGTCTAGTGAAGAGAAGGACTAGGGGAGACATGATAGCAGTGTTCCAATATCCCAGGGGCTGCCACAAAGAAGAGGGAGTCAAGCTATTCTCCAAAGCACCTGAGGGCAGGACAAGAGGCAATGGATGGAAACTAATCAAGGAGAGAAGCAACCTAGAACTAAGGAAAGTTTTCCTGACAATTAGAACAATTAATCTGTGGAACAACTTGCCTCCAGAAGTTGTAAATGCTCCAACACTGGAAGTTTTTAAAAAGAGGTTGGATAACCATTTGTCTGAAGTGATATAGGATTTCTTGCCTAAGCAGGGGGTCAGACTAGAAGACCTCCAAGGTCCCTTTCAACTCTGTTATTCTATTCTATATTGGATGTTCCCAGTTTTAGTTTCATTTGATGTGCCTTCAAAGAAATGCATTCTGATTCTCTCTCTCTCTCTCTCTCTCTCTCTCTTTCTTTCTTTCTTTCTTTCTTTCTTTCTTCCTTTCTTCCTTTCTTCCATGTACTCATTCAAGTCCCTGGAGGCATAGCTTCAGAATCCCTCACATTCACTCCTCTGGAGGACATGATTTTTCTGAAATGGGAGGAGCCGGTGGAACCCAATGGTCTCATAACACAATATGAGGTATGCCGTAAGATCATTTTGGAGAAATGGATATTGTGCCTTATCTCGCTTATCCTTCTGCCAAAGTCAGAAAAAGAAGGTTCTTGTTAATGCATTAATTGACATTTTCTATGAGGATGAACAATAGCCTGGAAGTATAAGTGAATTCTTGCTTAGAGATGTCACATGCATATGCTATAACAATGGTGATCTCGGGAGAGACACTCTATTCTAAATGAAAGGTAAGAGAGAATGCCAGTTTTAATAAGATGCTACTACTTTGGGTGCATATACATATCATTCATTCCAGTTAAGTAAAGTACAGACTGACCTTGGCTGATCTTATAAAGCTAAGTCAAGTTGGACGTGGTCACTACATGAATGGCCAATTGACAGAAAATCCCAGGGAAGTTGAAGAAAGATATTGGAGGAAGTCAACCCCAAAGTACTTTTGTATTGTGGCCCAGAAGACTCCCTAGACATATTTACACAGCATCAGACGTCAAGCTTGAATGGAATTTACATTATTAAAAAATGTCTGCATATTAGGGCACCAGTTTAGTTAAATATTTTATTTTGTGTTAATGAGTAGACAAACAAAATATTGCAGCTCTCTTTCTCTTGTTCTTTTATCAAGCTGTCTTTCTGAAGAATTGTGAACCAATTTGTGATCAGAACAATGCTTCATAAGTTTTCTTTTCACCAGTTGTCATTGCTCACTTGAGCCTATTAAAACAACAACAGTAGTTGTAGTTCCCATGTACCTGAAGGATGTCAGTCTGGGCAGTCTTTAAATGGGAGGAGCCAATAATGATGAATCTTTCCTGAATGTTGAATTCCAGAAATGTCAGGTGCTGTTCTGACCAAGGCTTGTTGAGACACTAACAAACACACGTTAGTCCCAAAACCCTTTTTTCTTTATTTCAATGGCTGTGAAATTTATTCATTCACAGATCATGAGTCTCCAGCAGTTTGTAAATAGTCCCATGGAAGTCTGCCAAAGTCATCCAGGATAAGTCTGATAAGCATGCACCTTTATCTTCCTTGAAATGCTGCCAACGACTAAATTTCCAATTAGTTATACAAGGCCAAATGGAGCAGAAATTCAACACAGAGCTTCAGGTTTCAAACCCGACCAATACTAACAGAGTTGCTTCCTGCAAAGGTTCTGCTCCTCCTTTATGTCTTATGGGAGAGCCAATCACCTCCAAGCCTTACTCCCAAGTCGCTCCTTTTTTCTTAACTGTTCTTGCCTTCTGGCAGCTCTGCGCATGCGCGCACTGGGAACAGGCTTCCCTTGTTCCTCTGCCTTGCTGATGTCAGATTCTGGAGGCTCTGGAGTCGGTACATAATTCTCAGATGGCCCTGGTCCCATCTCTGTATCAGGTGCAGGACCCTCGTCCGAGTCCTCCACAGAATCCCGGACTGGCCCATTTTAGATAGATAGATAGATAGATAGACAGATAACCAGCTCAAATCCCCCAGTAACTAAGACCAACCTGAGCACAACCAAGCCCCCACCTGAACAGAACACGCCTCCAGCCAATCAGAACATGGCCAACCCCCCAACCAATCAGAACACAGCCAAACCCCCAACCAATCAGAACACACCCCCACCCAATCAGAACATAGCCAAGCCCCCACCCAATCAAGTCACACCCCCACTAGCAATTAAAAGGAAGAAGCAGCTGCAAGCTCACATCACTCTGAGAAGCACAGAGCTGAAGACAGAAGCCTGAAGATGATGAATGAGACTTCATCGAAACATTGCCTAGATACTTCCAATCTTACGCGGGAGAAAACCCGAATAACCAAAGATCCATAGATAGATAGATAGATAGATAGATAGATAGATTTATTGTCATTGTACTCAGAACCTGAGAACAACGAAATAAGGTGCTCTTTCACAACATACAACTGAACAACACCAAAAGACATATACAAATAACAATGTAAAACAAATTAAAACAATTAACAGTTAAAAACTATACAACCAGGATATATATATGTTAAGACCACCAGATTTTCCTCCCCACTGTCTGACTCTGCTGCCATCTTCTCCCAGGCTGCCAGCGAACCACAACAGGTGCAAAAGATTTAGGTTTACATATGAAGGTTCAATTAAACTGATTTATTGCTAAAATAATAAATCCTATGCACAGGAATGATTTCAACTAATAGTTGGCTCCTAATTAGAGTTAGGTTAAGGGTCAATGGCACTCAAGGGAGGTCGGACTTAATTCTCTTGTGGGAACTTAGGAATTCTAGGCCTTTTCATACCAGCCCCAGATTCTGCTGTTCCTTCTCATAAAAGGGATCCCTTAAGCAGTCATGCCAGGTAAAGGCCTGGGAAGGTGGGCAGAAACTGACTTTCAGTCTCAAAGATTTGCACAATGATCGGGGTGGGATTTGTCTGTCAGACAAGCACCGCAATAATTGATTGGCTTTTCTGTTATTCTCAGCCAGGCGCCGAACGGAGAGTCTTTTCTTTTCTTTGCTTCATTATTGTTGTCAGATAGTTTTTTGAATAGGCCTGTCTCTGCGTGTGTTTTGGCGTCTCCCAAACGCAGCCAGGCAAAACCTCCCTTCCCTCATTTGACTTTTTATCCCATGCCTTTGCCCACTCTGGCATCAACAAAAATTATTGGAGCGTGGAAACTGCCGACTGAGAAAGCTTGATGCTTATCTGAATAGCCCTTCCCTGCCAGGCTGAAGGCTGCCTCTCGGAGAACTGACATAGGCTCTATTGTAATTCAGGAAGCTGTTCCCCCCCCCTTTCTTTCTTTAATAGTCTTGAAGATTAAGGGCAACTTTATAGTTCCTTCCAAGTCTATTGTCTCGGCAGAATGCAAGCTGTTTTCCTGGCTGTATCCAAAACTTCTCTCCATCTCTTGCTGTGATGATCAGTTCGCTTGGCCAAGAGCCACTCTGGGTCCTGTGCAGATTTTTGCCTTTGATGGAGTATTTCTCTCTACCAAATAATACTCTGCCCATAGAAAATCAACAGCAGGAAGAAGAATGCTAGGTTAATTTTGCCCTGGTCTTGCTCATTTTCTGTGTGCAAAGTGTCAGGACTCTGGCAGTTACCACCATTTAAATCATGAGTCCCTAGCCGGACTTCCAAAACTTAAAGAAGATTTATTAGGAGTAAACATGCCATCACTGCCTGGGTGTAGCCGACTCTGAGACACATCATTCATTGTCATCCTTGACCCTGGTTTTCCCCCCACTCCCTGGGTATATCATAATTCATATTCTCCAATGGGACACATCCATAGCCAAGAGTCATCAATCATGCTCTCCAGTTAGAATTTTGCAGGGCAGAAACTTCGGTCACCTAGAAACTATCTTTGAAAACATTTATGGAATGCAAGCTGACCACTGTTCTCCCCTCTTTCTGTTGGCAACTCTAAAAAGACCATAGAAATATTTTATGAGTTGACACAAAGATTTTAAAAAAAAATTGTTCATACATTATTGCAATATCTGGTCCTTGTTGAAGCAACTTCTTGGAATATATAGTTTATATAAGGGGGAGGCTATATAAATTCAACAAGCAAATCTTAAAGCATATCCCTTTATCCTAGATCAGCTACCAGAGCATTGAATCCTTTGACCCAGCAGTCAATGTGCCTGGCCCACGGCGCACCGTCTCCAAGCTCCGAAATGAAACTTACCATGTTTTCTCCAACCTTCATCCTGGGACGACCTACCTTTTTTCAGTAAGAGCACGAACTGGCAAGGGCTTTGGTCAAACTGCTCTGACTGAGATCACCACCAACATCTCAGGTAGGTTGGGAGGAGAGAAATGCATCCGTTTTGTGCAACATGTTGGTCTGGTTCTGAATTGAGGAGAGTTTGGGTGCCTGATTTCTCTACTTTGCAGATGGTTGCTTTGGATTGTTCTTTATTTTCTCTTATAAATGGATGACGATTTTCTGCTGAAAAACAAAACCCGTTTTTGAGAGCAGCTTTATTTTATAGTTCTACAACAGCTTCTGAAATAGAGGAAATTAACTCCATCATTTTTTCTCCCCCTTGCAGTTGCACTTGGATTAATTCATTTGCACTTTCCGCTTTGCTTCTCAATTTTGGCTGTTGTTTTTTTTTTTTGGTTTTTTTTTTGTCCCTTCCTTGTATCCCTTCCTTTTTGTTCTTTGGAGTTGAGGAGAAATCTTTAAATCTCCTAATGGCTTCATGAGTGCATCCATGCAGACATGCATTGGGGTTCTTGGCAACGGTACAAAAAGTGGCTTGTCTCCCTCTAGTATTTTTTATTTTTCAATTTCCCAGTCTAATCTACAGCCCTTCAATTCCTGGATGCTCTTTCAACCAGGCACTCACCTATCCTGAACTTGCTTAGCTTCTGGGCTCAGACCAGGTTGTTCAGATGCTATCACCTGTAGAGTATTATTTCCTTCTTAGGGCATTTGTGCAGTTCTCGCCCTTGTTCTTGCAAGTTTGGTATTGCAATTCATATGGGAAACAATTAATTGTAGTTTGTAATTGCTCAGTAATAGAAATATTCCTTATGATGATCAGGAAGGGTTTCAAAGGTAGGAAATAGGATTTCCAGTTGAAGTTTTTGGAGGAAAGCATTTGTATTCTCACTCTCCTAATTACACTCAACATCCTCCATGGTTGCTCTCACTTCTAATTTGGAAAAAAACAAACCATGGGAAGTGTTCGCTTAGGACAGGGGTCTTTCAAACGTGACAGCTTTAAGACTTGTGGACTTCAACTCCCAGAATTCCCCCTCCAGTCATGTTAGCTCAGGAATTCTGGGAATTGAAGTCCACAAGTCTTAAACTTGCCAAGTTTGAAGACCCTTGGCTTAGGATGTATGAAGCATGAGAGCCAGACTGGCTATAGAGTACAGCAAAGACACTGTTAAAGTACAACATTGAGACCCATCCTTGGACATCTCATCCCAAATAAGTACTAATTCTCCCATAAGAATTTTAACAAGATATTCTTCCCTTATGGGGCGGGATGTGCGGTGGAGGAAAAAATACAAAATAATCTTTTTTTTTTCCCCTTCAAGTTAAAGGGAAATTATTTTTAAAAATTGAGAAGAAATTTGTCATTTGTTCTTGTAATACTGGTGCCTCACCATATGATACTTGGCATTCTTGTAAGGACTGTGTTGAAAAAAAATTGAAATATTTTGACACTACATGCTCTATACAAGGGTTTCCCAACATTGGCAACTTTTAAGACATGTGGACTTCAACTCCCAGAATCCTCAGGCAACATGACCGGCTGGGGAATTCTGGGAGTTGAAGTCCACATATCTTAAAGTTGCCGTGGTTTGGAAATACATTATGAGCATATTATGTTGCAAGCAAAAAAAAAAAAAAAAAAAGCTACAGATACAATTCCTGTGTTTTGGCTCATTTTGCTCAGGGTTGAGATCCTGAGCAGTTTCACTGTGAGTTCTGACTATTGTTAAATGTTAACTGTTTAGGCTCCAATCTGGGGCCCGCTGAAATTCCACCCACCAAATGGCTCCGTGTAGTCCTCTCAGGTGCCCATCTAAGCCAACCCCCAAAGCCTCTTCCTCATTTTTACTGCTCTTAATACCTTTCCGAGTAACTAAAATAGTTTCAGATAGCTCTTCCTCTCTCGGATGCCATTTACACTTACCCTGATTGCAGTTAAACAATGCATTTCAGCACTGAGGTGTGAAAGAGCGGGTTGAGAGATGGGAGAGAAATTCATTATCTCTTCTAGCTTGTTATTTTTCCGTGTTCAGTTTTATCCCTGTCGGAATGAATTTTCAGAGTGAAAGCAGCACACAGAAGACTCTTCTCTAGAAATAAGGAAGCAGGGGATGGGTTGGGGGACAGACTTAAAACCGTGTGTGGAAGAGAGGGGTGGGCTTCAAAAAATTTAGAAACCAGTTCTCTGCCCAGGTTGCTGGGTCAGCGTGACCTAGCTGGCCTCCTGCACCACAGCAGGAGGCCTGTTTTTTGCCCTCCCTGTGCTCCAGAGGCTTTCCTCAAGCCTCCAGGAGGGTGAAAACAGTCTCCCTGGGCTCTGGAGGCCAGAAATGGGCCCATTTCTGACCTTCTGGAACTTTCAGGAGGCCTATTTTTCACCCTTGCCGGGCTCCGTAGGCTTCCCTTGAGCCTCCAGGAGGGCGAAATCAGCCTCCCTGGGCTCCGGAGGCTCTCCAGAGCCTTGGGGAAGCCTGTTTTTCACCTTCCCCAAGCCTCCGTGTGGGCCCTGTACCTACTTGGGATCCAAAATGGGCCACATGAGGACTCCTGGGAGGGGTGGGGTAGGGTGGGCAGGGTGGGGCCAGCCAGGGGTGGGATTTGCCAATTTGGTGAACCGTCCATAAAATGAGCAACCGGTTCAGTACCGGTTCGCCTGAACTGGGGAGAACCGGTAGCAGCCCACCCTGGCGGAAGACCACAACGGATAGTGAACTTTCTTGAAACATTGCTCTTAAACAGCAACACTGAAACTTCGTGAGAGCTCCATAAACAGTAATTTACTAGTGAAGACACAGGTTTCAAGGTGAAAAAAATTTGGAAATTTCTACATCTGTTAACATCACACATATATATTTATGTATGTTTCACGTTGATACGTTTAGTATCAGGATCATGTAAGGTGTTAGTACTGCTTTATACTGCTCTGGTAAGACCACACCCGGAATACTGCATCCAGTTTTGGTCACCACAATATACAAAAAGAAAGAGTGCAGAGAAAAAGCAACAGAAGATGATTTAGGGGGCTGGAGGCTAAAACTTATGAAAATGGTTCCTGGAACTGGGTATATGAGTCGAACGAAGAGAAGAACTAGGGGTGACATGATAGCTGTCTTCCAATATTCGAAGGGCTGTCAGAAAGAAGAGGCAGATAACCTGATCGTCAGAGCACCTGAGGTTAAAACAAGAAGTAATGGATGGAAACTTATCAAAGAGAAATCTAATCTAAAACTAAGGAAAAAAAACTTCCTGACAATGAGAACAATTAATCAGTGGAATGGGTTGCCTCCAGAAATTGTGGGTGCTCTATCAGTGGAGGTTTTCAAGAAGAGACTGGACAGCCATTTTGTCTGGAATGGTATGGGGGTCCTTCAGCAGGGGAAGGGACCTCCAAGGTCCCTTCCAACTTCATTATTCTGTAATTCTGTAACAGGGCATGCAGAAGGTCTGTTTCATTGCCCAAAAGAGAATGTTATACCAACAACATCCATCTAGATCAGGGGTGTCCAA